CCAAATTAAAATTAAACATAATCTTTCAAAGAATTTTCCAATATCTTTCATTTTTGACTGACATCCTACTTGCTATAGTCTTTAAGAATCAATGAATATATTAACTGAAATTAGATCCATCTCCAAGGAACTCAACTCTATAGTTCTTGGTACCTCAGATGGAATTTTTAATAATTTCAAGAGGGTTTTGAAAAACCACCTTGTATTCTTAGGTCAGTTCTTTAAACCTATGTGTTTTGAGTTCCCAAACAGAGAAAAAAGGGTAGGATTTTTAAAAAGAATAGTCTCAAGAGCATTAAAATCTTTTTTAAAAATAGCTAATAATTCTCAAGATTAGATGTGATTACATGGTTAGTTTAGGTAGTATCTTACAAACATTAAAGAATCTTCTCAGTCATAAGATTTCACTTGAGTGGCAAGGAGCTAGGACAAGATGGTACTGAAGAAGGCAGACTATATGCATTCAAGAAATTAGGGGCCAGGCATGTAATTCCAGCACTTTGGGGGATCAAGGCAAGAGGATCACTTGAGACCAGGAGTTTGAGACAAGCCTGGATAACATAGCCAGATCCTGTCTCAACAAATAAATAAGATTAGCCAGGTGTGGAGGCTTGAGCCTGTAGTCTTAACTATTCGAGAGGCTGAAGTGGGAGGATCACTTGAACCTGGGAGTTTAAGATTACAGTGAGCTATGATCATGCCACTGCATTCTTGCCTGGCAACAGAGAGAGACCCTGTCTCTATAAAAACAATTTTTAAAAAAACCTGAAAAAATTTGTTCCTTTTCTCTCCCTAAAATTCAGAAAACTTTTTCTTTACAGTTCCAAATAAATTAGGTATAAACCCTAACCCAGACTAAAGGTGATAATTTAATCAAAGAGCAGAAATAGTTCCGTCTGAAAAGCAGCACATTTGAGTTGAAATCCTTGCTCTACCATATAATAGTTCTGTGACTTTTAACTCTTTGAGTTTCAGTTTCTACATCTGGAACATGGGTATAATACCATTAAACCTGAAAGGGTTGTCAAGAATTAAAATATAGAAGGCATGTACAATATATAAAGTGCCTGGCTCATAGTAGGTATTTAATAAAGATCATGAACCTTTCCCATTTCCCCGAACCCTCTGGAAATTAATTTGATAGATAAATAGTATTCTCTTAACTCTCAAAGCTACTGTGATGAGAAAAAGAAACAACCAAATGGAACAATACTCCTTGATCTGAAATATTAAAGTAGATAAGTAATGAAATTAAACTAGTAAGAGATAGATACAAAGAATGACGGAATTATAAAACCCATATGAAAGTTATTAAGATGCTATTAATCACTTATGTTTTCCTCTTGGTTATGATGATGAGATCATATTTCACACTCAATGAGGGGAGAAATTACCCAAACTTTGAAAAGTGAAATTAAAACAAAAACTGCTGCCATTTTCCAGATGTTTTATCAGAAAACTATTTCAAAATGAAAGTAAGGCCTTTCAATCATTCAAGTGACATGATCTGTTGATATACCTATTGCCAGGTGGTGTCGGATACAAAACAATGCATTAGTTTGAGGGCTGCCATAACAAAATTCTGTAGACTGGGTGGCTTAAATAACATGAATTTATTTTCTCATATTTCTGAAGGCTATAAGTCCAAGCGAAAGGTGCTGTCAGGGTGGTTTCCTCTGAGACTTCCCTCCTTGGCTTATGAGACAGCTGCCTCTTCACATGATTGTCTCTCTGTGCACACACACCCCTTGTGTCTCTTTGCATGTCCAAATTTCCTCATCTTATAAGGATGCCAGGCAGATTGGATTAGGGCCCACCCTAACAGCCTCACTTAACTTAATCACCTCTTTAAAGACCTTATCTCCAAATAAGATTACTTTCTAAGGTACTGTGGGTTAGGACAAAATTCAACACAAATTTTGAGGGAATATAGTTTAGCTTACAATGAACATCACCTCTGGTAACCATTGCCTTGTTTTACAAACGAGGAGCCAGGCTCTAAGAGGATAAATAATTCATCAAATGTCATATAGCCAAATAAGTGGTGGAACCAAAATTTTAACCAGAGCCTCATTAGCAACAAAGACTAGACTCTGCTATTGACATTTTCTCACAGAAAAACAAATGTGGTGGAGAAGATAGCACTGACTGATGAAATTTTAAATAAGGAGGCTATCAAGGCAGCATGTATTCACTGGATGTCTTCATCTACTTTCTGTTGCTAATACAGAAAATCAGAGACTGGGTAATTTATAAAGAACAGATGTTTATTTGGCTCATAGTTCTGGAGACTGGGAAGTTCAAGAGCATGACATTGGTGTCTGGCGGGGTCTTTCCATGGCAGAAGGGTAAGCAAGCAGGTGAGACAAACAGGGACCAAAACTATCCTTTTATCAGGAGCCCATGACTGCAATCACTAATTCCCACAATACTGATTTTAGGTGAATATGCAGGGGGCATATTCAAACCACCTGTGCCATTACATGAAAAGAATGAATTTAGGATTAACAACTACTTATAGATTACTTATTACTGGGTTCTTTCACAAAGAGTCTATTAGTTCCCTCATATCAGGAACTGCTGACTGGCAAATAGGAACATTTGCATGTCTTGGCCCAAAACCTATAGTGAATCCTAAGTTAATACCAAACACAAGAGAGCCTTCCAGAATAAGTATCTTAGATATGACTGCCTTTTACATTTTTTTCCTTCTGTATTTCGGTGTAGGTTATGTGCAGGGACACACATGAAATCCCTAATCTGCTTTATAGTTTCTTACCTCATTGGCAATCTATACAATATGTTAGTGGGCTTTCAGCTCTATAGCATCTCAGAATGCAACACAAAAGTCTTATGCCTTATTTCTTTAGATTCCCATTTGTGTTTCCAGGAATGAGTGTTGGGCTAGACTGTGGTTGGGTCAATACCTTTATAATAATAATACCTCTGTGTGGTTTTGTGCTTTATTCTCTAACTACATTTTACAAATCTATACTCTGTGTTAAATTATAATTATATAATTAGTAAATTAAATCATTTATATTACCAGATAATAACGTTTCCAAAGACCAGTCTGGGTACACATGCTGGGGACTAGGGAATGCGACACGAATCCTAGTACATGTTAAGTTTTACATAAAAATTGTTGAATAAGGCCTAATTATTTTTTCTGTACTCTGAGGAGTATATTGGAATATTCCAATCTTAGCCATCCTTTAGCTTTTCTCCCAGAGTATGAATACTGTTAGTGTGGAATTCAGTTGTGATTTTTCAAACTGTGTCAATAAAGTGAATACAAAAGGTGAAATAGTATATAAGAATCTTGGGGGAAAACAGGAGAACATATAGAGAGGTAGTATATGCAGTTTTTTTTTTTTTTTTGAGTTGGAGTCTCACTCTGTCGCCCAGGCTGGAGTGTGGTGGCACACTCACGGCTACCCCAGTGTTGACCTGCTGGGCTCCAGTGATCTTTCTATCTCAGCCTTCCAAGTAGCTGTAACTACAGGCATGTGCCATCACACCCAGCTAATTTTTTTATTTATTGTAAAGACAAGGTCTTACCATGTTGCCTAGGCTGGTCTTGAACCTGTGGGCTCAGGCAATCCTCTTGCTTCGGCCTCCCAAATGGCTGGGATTACAGACTGAGCCACGGAGCCTGGACTATGTATTTTTTTTTTTTTTTTTAAAGCAATGCTTTTCCTCCAACGTGCTTATTTTTTCTGTAACAGTATTTAATGTTTTGAGATTACAAGCAATATTAAGTTAAGGTATGTGTTAAAAGAGAAAGAGGTTGAAAAACAACAGTGTAAGGGAATTGTTAAAAATCTCAAAAAATTGAAGACTTCATTTTTTTGTCTCCAGACAAAAGTTCATTTAGATAGCATTTAAAGAAAGTTTTGAACTGAATAGAATAAATACCCAATTAACTCAAAATACTTAATTCAGTAAAAACAGAAAATGGTAATGTGTTTAAAGAGCTGTACCCAGGGACTGAACTGCTTGATGGTCTGTACTTCAGTGGAAAAGTAAACTTGTAAACCCTCAAACACAGTAAGACACCTTTGTAACTCTGAGTGCATGAGCGTGTACAGACACACATGCGTACTTTTTTTTGCTTTAAAAATATTAAAAAAAATTTTTTTTTTTGAGTTGGAGTCTCACTCTGTCGCCCAGACTGGAGTGCA